TTCGAGGCTAGCCTGTAACTTCTTAACCAAGGTTGAAATTCCCCATCTAAGGTTAATGAGGCTCGCGAGAATTTAAATGTTAGTGATAGAGATGCTTTTGAAGCCTCAGAGATATTTTTTGATGTTATTGAGAAGGATTTAGGTGAAATTCGGGACCACTTTAGTGTACCTGATGACATAGAATCGAATTGTCCTAGGTTGTTCCAAACTGCGGACTGACCTCCCCATGATTGTATAACTATCTGTAAGCACTCATTGAATATGGGGCTCAGACTTTATTTTCGTCATTTATATCGCATCGTCCTCTCTTCTTTTAATATTGCTCATACCCAACTTACCTTGAATGGATGTGGCCATATGGTTGTGTCATTTGTGTTATGGAGTATTGAGGGCTTGAGGAGAGAGCTTTATATGGACGCTTTCCATTCCATTTATCTTTTCGTGAGATCGATGAATAAGAAGCACCCACAAAAGGGGTATTACTGCCTTACTCCTCGATTTCCCAAAGCGTGCTCGAAACTCATAATTATTTCTGATATGGAAAAATATCGATAGGCCCGAGTTCGAGCTATTTGACCAACGGGTCCATTATAAGGTCTAGCCTAGGAATACTAGTCCTACTTAAGTACAAACTCCTAGTTCATTACAAATTTTACCATAACACAAATTGTACATTTCTAACACAATATAAACACCTAAAATAACTAGGACTACAGGAAGTTAAGTCCTTCCAGGACTCCCCCTCCAACATCTATAAATACATAACATAACCTCATTATTCAGGTATGTTTTATAACATTCCAATAAATTTCTTCTTGCACACTTAACTGACTTAAACATCGGAGGGGCGACGAGGACACACCTCAACGCCTTTGTTTTAGTTATTGAAGATCGAATCAAGTGGACCTATTCCATCCAGTTCGGGTTAGCCCAGGTACGAATTTTGGCATCATCACTGGCGCCGTCGGTAGGAAACGATACATTAACCATGTTATATCGCAACCAAAATGCCCCAAAAAAAGGAATTTTTTCTGAACAGTTTCTATACTGAAAATAAAAGAGACGACAACCAAAAAATAAATAGAGTTCCAAGCAGTTTGTTCCACCCAAAATCACAAGGTCATGTCATCCACAAAATTGAAGGAAAAAGCTACTGAAATTGGAGTTTCCAAGCACATAATTTTTGAGGATTTTCTTTGGCTTCCATATTGGAGAATCGGCCATCAGAATAATAATTTTTCCCAGCAATATCTACCAAAAACATCAAGACACATTCTGTTCATCATCTAATCGTAGTAGTGCAACGTGAAGAAAATACAAAACTTCTATTCAAACATCTTCTACTTGAAAACAATGATGAGTTGGCAGAAGGAATTAAAAATATTACCAGTACGAGAGGCTTGAATACGTGGGTGATTCTGTTCTGAATCTCATGGTTGCTGAAGAACACTACCCTTCGTGCCCGGATTTGCAGCCTGGTGATTTGACCCGATTACGAGCTGCCAATGTTGACACGGAGAAGCTTGCACGTGCGGCTTTGAATCAACAGTTGCACAAATTTCTACGCTATAATAAGCCTATACTTTACTTGCTGGACAAATTTTAAAGAATTTGAGGAATCAGTGTCTGGGATTATAAAAGTCAGGCTGCAAGCATTTGTTTTTCTTGGGCTTCACAATCTTCTATTCAAGTAATTGGGCCCATATTATTCTTTTGGTTTAAAGTAATCAGGCCCTTCATCTTTTTGAATGGATTGCATTGCTTATTTTTTTTATGGGCCATTGCAAATTGCATCTCTCTCTTCTACACTACATATTTAGTTGGCCCGATTTATTATGTTTGGGCTATCTCCTACGGTGATTACGGACGAGAATGGAAGACTATTTAATTTATTGATTGTGCAAATTGTTCAAAAGATGGCTCTTTCTGGAGAATTTCAAAAGGAAAAGAATAATGCCAAACCAGTTGGTGGCATACTCTCGACGTCAACAACTTATAAAAAGGGGAGTAATAATTTTAATTATTCCACTTTCATTCATATTCTTACCTCTTCATGCCTACAATTTTCTTTTACTCATTTCAATTGCTATCTGCCATTAATTCTATACCACATTTTACGAGGTTTCGCACCTGAGGCCTACTAGTCACCAATGAGATAAATGAGCGTACCAATGCAAAAAAGACGATCAAGAACGAAACAAGGAAGAAAAAGGTGAGATTGAGCGATCTTGAATCCAAGAAGTATGCCGGTCCCGTGACAACGAAGGCTCCTCACGTTTAGAATAGGTACAATAACCTTTTCTCACCTCTTTAATTAGATCAATGAATCCATCATCCACTTGGCCCATTTAACAAAGTCAAAAGATTAAAGTCCTTTCTGGGCTATCCTTCTCGGTTTGCTAAGTTGGGCTCATATATTTATTTTCTTTTGGCCCATGCTTCTAATTATCTTAAAAATATTCGGGCATGTTGAATCTTTTATTTTAACCTTTAGGCCACTATAATTCTAATAATTCTTACTTCTAAATTTCCACTTTGCAAAATATAGTTGGGCTCATAGATATATTTTCTCTTGGCCATATTTCTTCTAATTATTTTAAAAGTATTTGGACTTGAGGGTTACTTTTTTTTACTGGCATTGACTTTTCTTTTTGTACCTTTACAAATGCTTATTTGAGTTAATTCATGTGCTTGGTTGAACACGTCCACAAATTGTCCAACTTAATTCTTCATCTTTCAAATGCTAATTATGAGATATATTTCTTTGCAAATTAGTATAAGGCTGTGCTCCGCGCATGCAACTAGTACAAAAATATAACATAAGGTCGTGCTCCGTGCATGCAGCTAGTATGAAAAAAAATTCGAAGTGTTTTTCCTGAAGACCTATCACGCGCAGGCACTTCCGAGACATGCTACGAGCATGATCTTCAAAAAAGCATTGTCACGAGCAGACCCAAAAAGCCCTGTCAAAAGTCATGTCATGAGCAGACCAACAAAAGCCCTGTTACGAGCAGGCACTATCAAAAGTCATGTCATGAGCAGACCAACAAAAGCCCTATTACGAGCAGGCACTATCAAAATCCTTGTCACGAACAGGCCAAGAAGAGCCATGTCACGAGCAAGCCAAAAAAAGCCCTGTCACGAGCAGGCCCACAAAAGCCCTATCACGAACAAGCCATTAAAAGCCCTGTCACGAGCAGGCCATTAAAAGCCCTGTCACGAGCAGGCCCACAAAAGCCATGTCACGAGCAAGCCCAAAAAGCCCGTCACGAGCAGGCCTAAAAAAGCCCTATCACGAATAGGCCATCAAAAGCCCTGTCACGAACAGGCCCAAAAAAGCTTTGTCACGAGCAGGCCAACAAAAGTCCTGTTACGAGCAGGTACTATCAAAAGCCTTGTCACGAGCAAGCACTATCAAAAGCTATGTCATGCCCAGGCACCTCCGAGACATGCTACGGACATGCTCTCAAAAAAGACCCGTCACGAGCATGAACTTCAAAATATGCCATGACCAGACCTTAAAAACCTACCTCGAGCACTACCATTCCAAAAATGGGTATCGGACTGAAATGTCCCCGACCAATGCTCGAGCTCGGGACTGCCTCATAAATAACATGACTCGAGCTACTTGGCCTACAATCAGCCAAGTAACACGTCTCGAGCTTATTACAAACCAGGACTCGAGCTACCTGGCCATAACTGGCCTGGTAACATGTCTCGAGCTCTTTCAACAGGACTCGAGCTACCTGGCCATAACTGGCCTGGTAACACGTCTCGAGCTCCTTCAACATGTCTCGAGCTCATAAACAAATAGAACTCGAGCTACCTGGCCAAAATATGGCCTTGTAACACGTCTCAAACTCCTTAAACATGACTCGAGCTACTTGACAAAAAGTCAGCCAAGTAACACGCCTCGAGCTCATTACAAAACATCACTTGAGCTACTTGGCCAACAGGCCAAGTTATACATCTCGAAGTGATTACAAAACATGACTCGAGCTACTTGGCAAAAAATCAACCAAGTAACACGACTCGAGCTATTTCTTACAACAATACTCGAGCTACTTGGCCAAAAAATTGACCAAGTAACAGGACTGCTGAACGTATCTCGAACTACTTGGCTAAAAATGGCCAAGTAACACGCTTGAACTCAAAACCCGAGCTTATTGGCCAAAAATCGGCCAAGTGACAAGATCGAGCTACTTATTTAATACAAAACTCGAGCTTATTGGCTAAAAAATTGGCTAAGTAATGAACTCGAGCTACATACAAATTGCAAATCGAACAAAGACTTAAACTTGTTGCGCCTCTTTGCATCTCATCTAGCAGCTCAAACACGTAAGTTCTAGCTGCAACCTGGATGTACGGGGGCCTGTGATATGGAAAAATATCGATAGGCCCGAGGTCGAGCTACTTGACTAGAACTCGGGCTAGCAGGCCCAATCTTGGCCCACTCCAACTGGGCTGATTTCGAGGTCGGGTCCATTATAAGGTCTGGCTTATGAATACTAGTCCTACTTAAGTACAAACTCCTAGTTCATTACAAATTTTACCATAACACAAATTGTACATTTCTAACACAATACAAACACCTAAAATAACTAGGACTACAGGAAGTTAAGTCCTTCCAGGACTCCCCCTCCAACATCTATAAATACATAACCTAACCTCATTATTCAGGTATGTTTTATAACATTCCAATATATTTCTTCTTGCACACTTAACTGACTTAAGTATCGGAGGGGCGACGAGGACACACCTCAACGCCTTTGTTTTATGTATTGAAGATCGAATCAAGTGGAGCTATTCCATCCAGTTTGGGTTAGCCCAGGTACGAATTTTGGCATCATCAATTTCCAATAAAATACATAATTGGAAGGATAGCGTTTTCTTGCTTGTAGTACTTGGAGACTACAGCCTAATGACCCTCACCCTTTGGTGATTATGTTTCGTCTTCACGGTGAATTCAACGTGTTTCTTTCCTTTATCATCATTTGCTTTTTATTTTAGGATTTATCTTATTTGATTATGTTCACGCAGATAAACAATCGATTCTCCTTCGGGTCAAGCCCTCAGAGGACTACATACTTTTAAGTCAATTTGACCCCTGAGCTTGCGAAGTTCAGGGGATACTAACCTTTTCCAATCCAAAATTTCATGACTTCGATATTCAATAATGCGTTAGCTTCTTTGTTTTAGAGGAATTTTTCTTATCTTTTGAAGAATATCTAATTTTTTTTATTTTTTTTGCAGTGCAAACTGACTTTGGTTTACTATTTCGACGGTCCCTAGCGCAGAGAACTATCGGGTGTCCCCCTTCGAAGAAACCAGTTCTAAAGAAATACCTTCGCGGGTGGTTGATGTTTCAACTAAGCGACTCCTGTCAATGGTATTTAATGTTGGAGCTTTAGGATCTTTGCTTGCAAAATCAAGGCCTCCCTTTTTGTTGGGTCTGGTTAGGGATCTTAGCAAAAGAAAAAAAACCCAAATAGGTTTATGTCCCTTACGGATTCCAAAGGCTCCTAGTCTCTTTGTGGTTTTACTCCGAGTTTTAAGTCTCTAATCCTTATTCGACGCAACGGTGCATTTGATGAAGAGATTTTGTCGACATTACCTCTTTTTGTCTCCTGAACTGTGATGGGCTATATATGCAATTGGTCTTAGGACAAGTGGGGAAAGATCTTACCCTTACTGAGAGAGAGAAGATTATTGACGCCTAACTCCAACGATCTATTGTCCTATCTCAAGATCAGCAGTTTGATTACGAGATTTGCATTCGTGGGTGGTTAGCCTAGAGAAATACGGTAGTTCTTTAGAGAAGAGGTACAATACTCTTCAAAAAAACTAGAGGTGGTTGACAACGAGCAAAACAGATATAAAGAGATGAGTAAAGGTCTCAAAGCTTTTTTTTTTTATTTTGGCGAAAGAGGCTTCCTTATCAGCTGATGCTAAGAAGATCTCTTCGAATCTAGAATTGGCCAAGGAAAAGCACTAAGCCTATGTTGCATTGACTAAGCGTGACACTACGCATCTTAGAGAGAAGTTCCAATTGACTAAGTTAGAGCATGAGGCTACCCTTATGGAACTTGATAATACATGAGATGAAAGAGTTGTGTTTCACGATAAATCGAAGAATATTGAGACAAGATTAGCTGTTACGGAGTCTAGCCTTTCTGGAGCAACTGCTCACAAGGAAAAATTAGTTGAATATGCTATGCAGGAAGGGAAAAACAAAGTGCTTTATATTATCAGAAACTTTTACCTTGAATGCAATATGGACTTTTTGGAGGCTCACAAAGATGATTTCAAAGAGACCTTTTCTCCTGAGGTTCGTCCGTTGGCCTCGAGACGTTGGACACTCTATCCGTTCCTATTGATCCTTCTCAACCTATGGAATCTTAGGCTATTCTCCTAAGTGGGAATGTGACCACCAATGACCCTCTCGATACTTTTACTCCTACCTTTTCCAAAGCGAGGGTACCTTCAGGGAGCGAAGTTCTAGTTAATCAGGATGATTCGACATTCAGGAATCTTTAATCCCTGGTTAATTAAGATATCTTATTTTTGTCTCATTGACTAGGGATAGATAAACTTCATTCCTTGTTT